ACGCGACGCCAGAACCATCGCACAGCGACAGCCCTGGCGCGGCACGTCAGTTCCCAGCGTGATGCGACAATTCTGTCGCATCGCGTCAAAAGCAGTTCTATTTTATTTGGAACTTATAATCTTTTCTAATCTTCCAGATTCTTTTTTTTCTTATAAATAGAGGTTGTTTTCCCCGTTTTAAATCATGATCAACAATCATCAATAATCCTTAGCATAAATCATCTTTCTTAAACACCCATGTTCTTAGCGTTAGCCTAAACACATCCTTGATACTCTCCCAAATCAGTCACAATACCTCCTTCGCGAGATTCGAATACTCCTATCCATACTCGACATTGCCTTCGACCTCAACGTGAAAGGTTGATAGTTCTGAGGGTTTGGTCCCAAATCTATGTTTTAATTCATATTTTATTTATTTATTTTATAGATTTAACTTTCTTGAAGTTTACTAACGTGTGTATTGTTTTATTAACAAGAAGGTTGAGGCATCAAAGTGAGTAAATCAATCACCCTTATTATTATTCTTTGATTTTTGGAGTAGAAATCATGTTTAGGATGTTATTATGATTTATAGTATCATGTTTAGAATGCTTATATTGATTTCTAGTATCATGTATAGGATAACACTTTGATTTTGTTATTAGTGACATGCAAGGGCTGTTATTAATCCGTTTAGTATCATGCCTAGGATCTTACTACTAACGATTGTTTTGATAATGTTCCTATAATGACGATTGATATTAATCATATGTTGCTTGATTATTATGATTTATTGTTATTGCTTGATCACGCCTCTTTTTGCAGATTTAAAGGGACTTTGTACTTGAAACCACGCCTAATAAGATAATTAATAATTTAATTTAGGCTTAATTTGATTTTAATTATTCAAGTGATCACCAATAATACATTTAATTATGCATTAATAATCAACCAACGTAGATTAAACAACTTTAGGATTAACTAAATGTATGTATGTTGAAAGAAAAGCGCACATGAAGATCAATAAGAATCAAGTAGAGGCCTATTTAGGGCAGGTTTGGCATCTCTTAGGTCAAATTCTTACCATCATCCCTGAACATCCAGTCATAGTTCCGGACCACTATGAAGTTAGCAATCTATGTGATTGTGAATGGGGTGTAACCTTCACACCCGTGAACGGTTTACAAGTTCCTAAAACTTGTTGGCGACTCACTTCTTTTCCTTGGAGCGCCACCATGCTTAAACACATGACCCACATGTAGGGCGGAGTGAAAAATTCCCTACAATAAAATACCAATTGACTTGAATATAATGAATCGTTAGATAATTATCAAAAACATCCAAATTACTTGGTTAAGTAAAAGGATGAATTCTTGATGCATGGAAACAGATATAATTAAGTAATGATGTTACGAGCACAATCTTAGCAAGGATTAGATCCTTAATAAGGAAGTCGTTTGTAAGCACGAGCTTAGATGCGTCGTGGCTTGAGAATGGCAACATGGACTTGCGTCCATGTGCAACGTGCGGAAATTTAAGGTAAATTTCCATGATTCACAAATAATTAGGGTATCCAGAATCATTGTGAAATTATTGGAGTAGAATCCAAGCAAAGCATCATTAAAAAGTCTACTAAAGTATATGTTGAGAACATTGTTGCCTTAGAGGCAACAAAAAGGAAGTTGTTCAATGGATATTTCGTTGTTCAACTTTGATGATTGTAGGTTGCCAAGTTGAATGTCTCAAATCATGATAAAGAGTGGGAGCCATCATTTGGGCAATAAATCCTAAATCACATGTAATCCATAACACACTCGAATTTTATCATCTTTTTATGAAAGTGTTCGACAATGAGGATGCTAAGATTTGTAAAGTAATCATAACTAAACCTGTGAAATAAGTGAAACACAACATTCACAAAAGAAATCAAGCATATTAGATATGGGTGTGATTTCTGTAAGTGTTTAGTAAAGAGTATTACTCTTATACAACGTTTTTAAAAACCATTTTTCATAAGATGAAACGTTGAAAAGTTTTATAGTGGAATAAATATGCTTATTATTACATGATCATTTAATTATGGTTTAGAATTAAATTGGTAAGTCCATTCAATTTGACGATATTCAATATGGGGTATTAAGACAATGTCTTGGATAAAGAAACACCTATTAAGTGAACATTGAATGTCATATCGAAATTATCCCTAATCAAGGTCATTTAAAGGATGGGCGATTAATGACCGTGTGAGATTAGTGTGTAGTATGATTTATTACACTGTTTCTTGTGCTACAAGGACATGAACGTTATAGATCATTTTACACGGGTATTGGTTTGAAACCAAATCGGATTGACCTATGAGAATACTTTAAGAGATTTAAAAATCGTCATAAGTATATATCTCATTATGGCTATCGGTACCTTTTCCTCAACCATGAGTATTGTAAGTTTGCTTATTTGAGTACTAGTCTGTTTTGATATTGTCAAACGTCCGTCGTAAAAGGGGATTATAAAGGCAACACTCGGGCGGCTAGGTCTCTAATTAACTGAAGCTTGACAATGCAAGATTGGGAATGTCCTCCCTATTAACAATAGGAAATATGTCTTTGTTGTTTAGAAGGCCTCTCGAAGAGCGAGACTATGAAAATGCATGGTTGTGCTCAGATGGATTTTAGAAATCATCTGTACTTGACAGTCGAACTTGGAATTTCGAGAAACACTTCCGGACTTAATAAGGATGACGATGAATCTTACCTTATAGTTCATGAAGAGGCATTAAATGACATAGGAAAAGGGCAATGCACATACCGCAAACTTGTTCGAAAGGACAAGTGGGAGATTAAAAGGAATAACGTCCTTCAAAAAAGTGTATTATTCCGATAGAGGGTTCAGAATAAATTACGGAGTTAATTATTTAGTGAAGTCAAGTGATCGGAAAGTTGGGATAGAGGCCATCTCCAATCATTGAGATTAATATAATTAATCTCACAGCTTTCCTTTGGCTGAACCCAACGGGTCACACCCAAGCGTGCAACCAAACTAAGGCAATAAATTAATCCAAAGGGTTAAATACGTCGATCAAGATAATTCGTACTCAAAGGTCGGATTCCGAGCTTAGAGCGTTGAAATCGAGCGTCCAATGTTGAGTCAATTCTAGGAATAGACAAAGACATAAAATAAGTCAAATCAACACATATCGTATTAGATACAAGGCCTTACCGCACCATGGTCATGGGGGCAAGGCCAAGCCAACATACTTTGCATGAGGTACCAAGCCATGCAGCAAGCATTGCCTAGCAACACAGCGCGGCAGCAGCACAAGCAAGGCTAAGCATGCTGCTGGCCTGTGCTTGCGGCCTGCTCGCATGCCCGGTCTAGCTAGCATTGCTAGCTGGGCCTCGCATGTGCCGGCAAGCGCCAATGATGGGCTGCTAGCTGCCGCGGCAGCGAGGCCAACTAGCTAGGCTTTGCTGGCTGGGCTTTGGGCGCATGGTTGCCAGCGTGCAAAGCCTTGCTTCCCTAGGCCAGCTGCCGAGCCTTGTTTCCCAAGGCCATGACCGGTCATAAGGGGATTGTGATTGGTGGGAGGTTATGCTTGAGGAACAAGAGAGACCTTGTGGTCCTCCCTTGTGGTCCTCACCTAACCTCCCTAACATGTTGACAAGTGTTGATTGATTATTTGTTTGTGCATTTTATTTAATTTAGAATTAAAGTAAATGCTAGTTTTTTCACTTTATGAAAAGTCCCACATTGAAAGATTTCAATGGGAGGGAGATGCCAAGTCAATAAATCCCAAGCATGCCTTGGGAATTAATTGCAAGAGTTGGACTCGAAAAGGGCATCTCCACATAAAATGTGAGAAAACGCTCAGAGTACATAAACCTCTTGTAGTAGTGTCTTGTGTTAGTCTAGCCACTAATGCCGACCAAGTTTGGGCGCGCGGGTGGACTTTGTTGGAGGAGCCACGTGTGGGGTTCTCGCTCCGTAGTCCAAGGTTCTTGCTCGAGAGTAGTTCAAGCACGCTTCAAGGGTATGATCGTCTTTTCGCCTCTCTCTCTCTCTCTCTTTCTCTCTTTCTCTCTCTCTCTCTCTCTCTCTCTCTCTCTCTCTCTCTCGCGTGTGTTTATCGCTTTATTTATTATATGCTTGTTAGTCGTATTAATTTATGCATGTGGTCTGGGGCGGGGTTTGAATTCCGCACAGTGTTTGGGACACTGTAAAAACCCAACAGCTATAGACACCTGATTGTGTCTCCCCAAAAACAAAACCCAGTGATGAGTACCTTTCACGTTCTGATTTACGAGTTCGGTAAAGAGTTGAAGAGTCTCGTGAAGTTCCCTTAATCCTTGACCGTATTTCTAACCTTTCCTAAAATGTTTTAAACCAAAATCATTCATTTCGTGTCTTTAAACCCAAAATCATTCACTTCGTGTCCTTGAAAATCATTCATTTCGTGTCCAACTCATAGAAACTAATCGATGAGCCATACACCCTAGTGTAGGTAGGGGTACCTACACCCCACCCCCCTCTAAACGACGCGTTTAGAATGCTACCCACATCCCACTAACCCGCAGTAACTACCCACTAACTGCAGTAAAGTAAAATAATCGCCCCTACCCCACATATATATACATAAAATATATATATATATATATAAACCACTCCATTTCAATTCATTTTCTCTCTCTAAAACCTTCTTCTTCATTTCTTTAGACTTCCTCTCTCATCAAAACCGAAAAACGGAACCAAAATTGCTTCAAACTACTGCAAAATTGTTTCAAAATACTCCAAAATTGCTTCAAAATAGTAGAAATGTCTAACATTCGCAAAGAAATTAAACAATCGCAACAGCATTCTGATAAAGATTAAGTAATTTGTTCATTTTAGTACAATTATTTGTATAAACCCTAGATTTTATAATTTATTTTGAAATTGCATGTTCAAAAACATTATCTAACTTAATTATAATTATTTTTATGCATAAATGTGCATTTCTAATTGATATTTGGTGTTTGTTTTTGTAGAACCGAAAAAGATGTTTCGGAGAAGAGAACTACAGAGAAGGATTCTTTAGAGAAAAATCATGTGGAACAGAAAAAATTAAATTCTGATGAAACGTAAGTTTCATTTCAAATTAATGTAAAATTATAAGTAAATTAATGGATTTCTTTGCAAAAAAATTAACAAATTGTTAAAAAGCAGAGTTGATGATCAACCTATTCAAACAAGAGTAGAAAACTAAAAAAAAGCCGCGAAAAAAAGTCTCAAGTTGTAGAACCAAAATTTTAAAAGATATTAAAAGGTCTTATGGTATAGATGTTATCATTTCTATAATTCCGAGGTAATATATTAACATATACTAAATTATAAATGTTCATTTTTTTATTTGAGTTTATATTTGACTTTATATGCCAAAATTTATAAATGTTCATTTTTATGATATGTTATGCACATTTATGAAATGCATAAATATTCATTCATTTGAGTAAGCAGATAAGTTTATATGCCTAAATTATCCTTTGAAATCTTTGATCATATATGATACTCATAATGTTCATTTATAGATATAGTTATGTTCATTTTTAAATATTATAATTGTTCATTTGAGTATACATATAGGTTTAAATAACAAATGTACATTTCTTTGAAACATCATGCACATATATAAATATGATAATAATCATTTCAGTTGTATGCATTCAAACTAATACCCTATAATTAATCTATATTGCAGTGATGTACCATCTGAAGTGAAACACTTGCTTCAATTTAGAGATGGAAAATCTGAAACATTAACTCTAAAGAAGGTTATAGGAACAAATGAATTGGGTTGTAGTTATCAAAGATACACTTTGAACAACAAGTAAGTTTATATGTATAAACATAATTATTTTTGTATGCAATCATTGTGCATTGTGTATATATATCAAACTTATTAGGCAATTCTTAGAATTTTAGTGAAAAAAAAGGTTCGAGTGAAATTTGTAATGTCAAAATCAAGACCACCAAAGACAAATCAATCAATAAGGTATAAAAACTTTATACCAAATAATCTAGTTCTCATCATTATATAAATTAGTTCATATCTGAATATCATATTATAACAATAATTCTAATTTTTTAGTGAACAAAGTGAGAATGTATCTGCTACTCATACCACAACTAAGATTGGGAATCAATCTGAATCAAAAGATGGTAAACAGGATAGGGATCAAAGGTATGCTCAATATTAATTCATATAGGATACAATACATAAACAATGCTCACTTTGGTATACATAAATGTTCATTTTCCATACACTTTCTGTTCTTATTTTATAGTCCAAATTCTAATTAATGAAATTTAAACAATATTCAGTGAAAAGGATGTGGAGCAAAAACAGGATGCAATTACCTCTGAAAAGGACAAACAGGATGTGGATCAAAGGTATTAAAAAAACAATGTTCATTTTATACATAAATGTTCATTTTGTGTACCATTTATGTGCATTTTTGTTAATAGTATTAGTTAATATTGATTTCAGCAAGCTAGAAGCTGTTCAATCAGATGTGCGAAAAAAAAAAAAACAGAGAAGAATACTGATGATAAAATACCTTCTGGCCCAAAGTAAGATAAATGAAATGTTCATTTTCTTTAGACTTTATGTTCATTTTTATATTTGCTTAGTCAAAATTGTAAGTTCGAACATATTTTAAATGGGTTATCAGAAATCCCAAAGATGATGGTCAAGTGAAGCCAGCAAGGAAAAAGAATCAATAAAAAATAATCATTCTAAAGGGGAAGATGCAAAAAAGTACATTTAGACATAGAGAATAACCCAAAGTATGTTCAAACTTGAATAACTAAATGATATTAAATAAATACTGTCCATATATTAAGATTTCATAATACTATCTCACATTTATAGAAAGTACAAAGAATCAACTATCAGAATTATGCAAAATTTGAAGAGAATGGAAAAGGCAAGCAAGATAAAGAAAAAGGTGGGAAAAGCAAGCAAGAAGTTGAAGGAAGGTAAATGTTCATATATAAATCATATATTGAATATATCTGTTGAATGTTTATAAATATCTATTATAATGATAATAATAATAATAATTTTGCAGGTGGAGAAAAACCAAAGGAAAAAGTGTCTGTAAAGGAAAAAAGTCCTAAAAAGGAAAAAAGCCCTGAAAAGAAAAATGTGGAAGATGACTTTCCAAAGACAACAGAGCTGAAAGGTAAAATGTACATATTTATTACATAAAATGTTCAATTTTGTTATATATAATGAATAATTTTTATTGTATTGACTTATATTGATAAATTTAACTGATTAAATTTAATATTGTCATTTACATAGAAGGAGAAAAGGAAAATGTTCAAGAAGATATGCCAAAGACTACAGAGATGAAAGATACTATTGAAAATGAGAAGAGTAATATTCATTATACAACGTTCATATATGTTATATATAATAAACATTTGTCATTCTGTTTACATAAATGTTCATTTAATGTTTTATATTTGATCATTTAATATAGATGGTAAGAGAGATGCAACAGAAATATTACCTGAATTTGTACAAATTGAGGATGAGACTCATCTGATAGATCCAGAAAAGGAAACGGCTGATCTATTGACAAAAATGAGTAAGGAGCCAACTGCCTCATCTCAAAAGAGTGAATAATCAAGCTAAAGGAAAACAAGATTCAAAACGGTTGCAAGAAAAAACAAAAAGAAAACCCCTTTAGCGCAAGAAAAGTCAAGTGGGAGAGTTACAAGAAGCCAAGATAAAGGTAATACTTTTGTATTTACTGTTTAATAAGACATTTATAAGTGTACTAATATAAAATTTAAATACACAATAGATGTTGTATTAGATGAATCTGCTGAAAGAGGTCAGAAAGAGGCAACTGCTCAACTTGCTGAAGCATCACAAACTACACCAGCAATAAAAGATCAGAAAAAAAGAATTTCTCAAAGGACTTCTCCTATTCAAAAGAGAGCTGGTGCACCTGCTGAAAAAATTGCAACACCTGCTCCCATTAGAAGAATGGCAGGTGCTCCGAGCACCTACTCTAATCAGAAAAATGGCAGGTGCTCCTGCTGAAAAAGTTGAAAAAGCTCCAGCAAAAAATAGTTCAGAAACAGAGGATTACACCTGTTCAAAAAATGCCAGGTGCTCCTGCTGAAAAAGTTGTATAAAAAACAACTAAGAAAGCTCCTACCACAGAAGTAGAAGAAAAAAGCAAAAAAGGTAAATGTTCAATATAATAAAAGTTTGTTATTTATTATAAAATTTGAAATTTGTAATATAATATATTTATCATTTATGTAGGTGGAAAAAAGAGTCTTGCTCCTACTACAGCAGAAGGACTGAAGAAAAATGCTAAGAAAGCAAGTATAAAAATGTTTTATTATAAATGTTCAATTTCAATACATAGAATGATCCTATATAGTAACATTTTTGTTCATTTTATGGTTAGAAAGAAATTGTCAATAAACATTATCTATATAAATGTTCATTTTCCATACATAGAATACATGTTTTTTTTTTTTATAAATGTTCAGTTTAAATACATACAATGATCATATATATTAACATTTATGTTAATTTTATGGTTAGTAAAAAATTGTTAGTATTGTCTATATAAATGTTCATTTTCTGTACATAGAATAATCATTTGAAATAACATGTTTTTGCTGACTTTTATGTTAATTTCATTGTTCAGAAATAGTTGTGGGCCCTCCCAAAAAGAATGTAGGGAAGAGGATAAAAAATACAAGAAGTACCATAGATGAACCATCTCAGGAGCCTTCTTCAACTGACAATGGTGATGATAGTGAAGATTCAATTTACAAGGCTGAAAAAGAGTTTGTCAGTGAGGAAATTGAAGCCGACCTTCTGTGCAGTTCGACCTGACCATGGGACTAAGTATGTGATTAGACTCAAGCAAAGACTAAGTTAAGACTTCGTTTGATTAAACTGCTTAATCATGGCATATTAGACTCGACGCAAAGACTCGGAAAGGAAAAAACCGAATCGTCGCGTAGCGATGGAACTGTCGCGGAACGCTGGTTCCATCGCGGCGCGACAAGACTGCCGCAGCGCGATGGACCTGGCGTTCTGTGGCACAGACCAAATTTTCGCACCAATAAAGGAACGTGAATCTAGCTTGTTTTTCTCGGTGATCCTATCGAAGGTTTAAGTCTATGGACTGCTAGGTCGAGTATGTTTAGACTTCATAGGTTCAAATTAATTAACCAATTAATTAAGCAAAGTCCTTTTTAGTCCTTGGTTAGTTTGTTAAAACTTTATTTACAAGAAACAAGGTAACACAAAAGGTTAGTTTAATCACAAATAAAGTATGCACAAGTAAGAGATGCACAAGTAGTCAAGTAGTCACAATATGATGCAATGAGTTTGCAACCTAACCATGGCTTTAGTTCTCTAAGGTCAAGGATTATGGTGTCCAAAAGGGTCCATGGTTATGAGTCTGGATGCATCGTGCGAAAACCTTACCTTAAAAGGGTTGGCACGATGGATGGGACCCCGCAAGTTAAACTTGCTTCCATGGTTTGGTGAATTCACAAACTCGGATGCGCCCATTGTTGCACGGAGCGTACATTAGGGTGGATGGAGCGTGAATTCCCAGGGGCTAAGACCATATGTAGAACACATATGGGTTAAGAAAAGTCGAAAAAACTCAATCAGGAAGTAAAATCGTCAAAACAATACTAGAACTGGTCAAAACACGAAAGCAGAAAACTGACGCAATGTCACGAGAACTCGGCGCGAGAAAACAGTGACTCGCGATAAAGCTGTTGTCTTGCGAAAGTTCCAACACGTCGCGGCAATTCTGGAATTCGACTTTTTTCCGATTTTTCGCAGTGTTTATTCAATTTTAGTTGTGAAAGATATTTCTAGCTTTTCCTACGTGTAAAAATCCTATGTTTTTGATGCATTACGGATGGTCTTTCCAATGCGAACCTTTTTATCTTATGCCACAATGTTAATTAAAATTACGCACAATGAAAATCTAGAATCTTTCAAGTCTCATCCACTCATTCTAAATCAATTGCCAAAATAAATTTTAGGAATCAATCTAGAAATCCTCCCTAGTGGAGTCGCCAAAAACTGTACGGAATTTTTCAAACTCAACCTTGAGCCCCACTGTGATCATGCTTTTAGGCATGGTGGCGTCCAAAGGAAAGGAAGCTAGAGATAAAAGAGTCCCCAACAAGTTTTAAGAACTTGTAAACCATTCACGGGTGTAAAGGTTACACCCCATCCATGATCATGGAGATCGCTAACTCTAAAGTGGTCCAGAACCATGACTGGATATTCGAGGATCGTGGTACGAATCCAACCTAAAAGAGATTGAACCCGCCCTAAATCGGACTCTACTTAATTCTTATGATATTCATGTGCGCTTTCCGATCAACATACATACACCAAGTTAATCCTAAGCATATTCAATCTACATTGGTTGATTATTAATGCACTAATAAATCTATACTTGAATTAAAATCATATTACCTAAATCAAATTATTAATTATGTTATTAGGCGTGATTTCAAGTACAAATTCCCTTTAAACCTGCAGGAAGAGGCGTGATCAAGCAATAACAATAAAACATGAATAATCAAGCAATTTAATAATTGACACATCAATCATTATCATAGTCAAAACATCATCAAAACATTATTAAAACATGATTAACAAGATCCTAGGCATGATACTAAATGGATTAATAACAAACCCTAACATGTCACTAATAATCAAGATCAAAGCTTTAGCCTAAACATGATACTAGAAATCAACAAGATATTAGAAATATTAATTGACACCCTAAACATGATACTAGGAATTAAAATCAACATCCTAACATGATGCTACAAATCAAATAATATTCTAAGCATGATTCCTATAAAAAGAACAATTAAGTAATCGACTTGCTTACTTTGATGACTCGTATCTCTTTCTATCAAAACAATACACATGTTAGTAAACTTCAAGAAAGATTAAATCAAATAAAAATTGAAATATAGATTTGGGACCAAACCCTCAGAACTATCAACCTTTCACGCCGAGGTCGAAGGAAACGTCGAGAAGGTCAAGGTGTATTCGAATCTTGTGAGAGAAGTATGGTTTTTGATCGAGGGGAGTATCAAGGATGTGTGTAAGGATGTGCTTAGGCTAGGCTAAGAAAAGAATCAAGAGAGAGAAAGAAAGTATTAGAGAGGGGATTAGATGATGATTGTTGGTGATTGAAAAAGGGGTCATACGACCTTTATCTATAAGGAAAAAAGAGGGTCGAGGGATCAAAAAATAGTCAGAAATCAAAACAAAGTAAAATAGGTTCCATCGCGGCGTGACAGACTTGTCGCAGCATGATGATGCTGTCGCTCAGTGATGGTTTGGAAAGATAAAATTCGTACGGAATCCGATTTCCAATCGCATTGGGTTAACCAAATTTCCGTACGTATTCTATTTTGATCGAGATTGGGATCATTGAAAAACAAATGTTTTATCCGATGTAAAATTCTTAAATCTTTATCTTTTCGAAAACAGGATAAATTAGAACCTTCTAGAAGATTCTAGAAGCTCACAATAAATCCTAATGGATTAGGATCGAAAACAACCTTCTATATGATTCTAGAAGCTTGTAATAAATTTAATTGGTTTAGGAATGAGGTTAAGGTTAATGGACCCTCCACATGATCATTGGGTCGCAGGTAAGGCTTGGTTCGAGCTCGGTTTAGTATTTTGACCATAACTTCTTCGTTATAAGTCAGATTTGGGCTTATAATATATCGTTGAAAAGCTCTTTTCAAACCCCATCCAATTACATAATAGTTGGACCGAGATCATGGACCAAAATAGAATGGTTTGGACGTTTTTTAAAGAGCACACAAAATGAATGATTTTCAAAAGACACGAAATGAATTATTTTGGCTTAAAACATTTAAGGAAAGGTTATAACTGGTCAAGGCTAAAGGGAAATTCACGAGACTCTTCAACTCTTCACCTAACTCGATAATCAAAGACATGAAAGGTACTTATTACTAGGTTTGGTTTTTGGGGAGGCACAATCAGGTGTCTACAATGTGCAACAAACTGCATGTGTTTCTTTATTAAAAACAACTTCATGCTTAATAATATCCTTCCCAGACCTCCAAAGATGATATGAATATTCAGGAAAACACAAACCAGAATCTACATAATCATAAGCAGTCCCCTTAATGAACTCCTCTTCAAAAAGCACATAAGCTTAAATAGTGTACAATGATCTTGCATGAAATAATATCCCAATATTAACAAAACCTAGGTGTCTATTACCCCTCAAAGTATTAAAATCTTTGCCACCTTTCTTGCTTCTCCACTCAAATATGACATCAAGAAAAACATGATAAAAATCACATAAACCTTGGGTCTTATTAAGACGTTGAGAAACTGACTTATTAGTAGTTTCACTATGTTAAGAGGACAAAATACCACCAGACCAATACTTCTTAGAGTAAGCTGAACACCACATTTCCTTTATTTTATACAAATCACATAACCAATCAACATTTCCACATTTGTATTTATCCAACATCCTGTATATCAGAAATGATCATTTATTGTTTAGAAAATGAACAAAATATAAATGAATATATGCACATTTGTATAAAGAATAATGTTCATAAACAAAAATTCATTTTTAAACAATAACAGAGTAAGATGTTTAAAAACAACATGACCACTAATAAATATGGAATATATTATGATCACTTATAAAAAATAAAATGTACATGTTTAATATCAGAACAAATCTTATTATTTAATAATGATCATATGTAAAACACTTAATGTTCATATATATATCACGTTATAATAAATATAAAAAACAATAATTTACCTTTTCCAGAAATGCTCAAATTCACCAGGGGTTTCACAATATTTCAGATTATATCCAAACAAATCTGTAAAGCCTTCCAAAGATCTCAATGATGCAATGTGTTTCTTCAAATTTTGTTCAAGATGCCATACACATAAGCGATGATGGACAGTTGAAGGAAAAATGTTTCTTATACCCGCTGCAATCGCTTGTGCTTGATCAGTCGTAATTGTAATGGGACTTTTCCTTCCCATTGAGTGTATAAATGTATCAAACAACCAATCAAAAGACTCGGTGCGCTCATTAAGAATAAAACCCATACCATACATGACATTATAACCATGATGGTTCATCCCAACAAATGGAGCACATCCATATTTATTAGTTCTATAGGTTGTATAAAAAAACCAACAAATCTCCAAAGTAATGATAATCTCTCATCATCCTACCATCGCGCCAAAAAAAGCTAACTAAAGCACCACTGTTCAAAATCGTAGTAAAAATCTGCCTCATCCACATGTCTCTTGGCAAAATATTTAATCAGTTGGTTATAATTACTATCATATCCATCATGTTTGGCAGCTTTTTCAGATGATAATGCATTATACACATCAGGAGCAGTAAAAGAAAGATTAGGAGATCCGCTAACCTCCTTCTTGAGAGCCCTCAAAGAATCAGAAACTTTGACTCCGCTCAATTTCATTGTAGAAATGAAAAAAAGTTGGTCTTTAGTGATACCCCTTTAAGACCATAGCAAATGCCTTTTTTCAGGAGGAATCATATCATGATTATGCACTATTTCATGTCTTGTACATGTATAAACACCTAAATGATCAATATGAAACTGCACAAAAGCCAAACAACCAGTTCGAATATCCAGCTTCTCATAACACCTATTATTCCTACACTTATCATCTTTATAACCCTCATTACAACAAACAATTTTTTTTCATCAAAAATGAATCATCTCTTCTCCTCTTACTCTTCCCAATTTGAATTCCAAAACCTTTCCTAAAAGCATATTCGTCGTTATACATTT